TACCTTCTTTCCCTCCAGTAGTTAAAATGAATCAAAACAATACTTGACTTTGATCTGAACATGCTAAAATTGAATTACTCTACCATCTGAAACAAAATCAAAGCCTGTAGTGTTACATAATAACACAGTACACTGTTTGTAAATATCTTTATTCTTTATTTAATCAGCCTGCATAATTTCACCATTTAAATTGTTAGAGCGCCCCCACCACCCCATAAAAATAAACAACATTTCATTGGCAGAGCAGGTTTTACCATCTGATAATCCTTCAATACCAGGAGTTAAAAATCAAGTCAAAAGCCCTGCTGGTGAGCCAGGGAAGGTGCATAATAGTTAATAAACAAGATATGTTTGTTAAGCATGTATGCCCCCTATTGGCAGTCAATTAGTCATGTGGTCAGGTTATTATGACTAACTTTTGACCTAGTGACCAAAACAAAAAGTCAATAGGGGTTATCTAATGGTCATGACTAGTCACTAGGTAATTGTGACTGTAAGGTTGTGTGCAGCAATTTTATGACAAAGTTATCACAAATCTTACCAAGTAATATATGCAGATTTTTCTTTCTCAGAAATATGGGTTAGGCATTACTTAGAAATTTAAAGTTTGAAATTTGATATCCCTTTATGAATCATATAGGCCTTCTTAATGACAGCCAATTTGTTATATTACCGGTACATATGACCATGAATTGTGTATACCAAAAGCATTTTTAGTTTTATAAAAAATATCAACCAAGGCAACTTCAGTTCTTGAAATATTGATATTTTTACCAACAATGTCAAAGTGACCTTGACCTTTGACCCCAAAATCAATAGGGGTCATCTACTGGTCATGAACAATCATCATACTAAGTTTGAAGTTCCTATGCCTAAGAGTTCTTTAGTTATTGATCGGAAACCATTTGGTCTACGGGCCGAGGGACTGACAGACAAGTTTCTTGCTCAAGGAAACAATGACTTGCCCCCTGACAGGGTCTGAACCCACACGGCTAGTGATTATTAGATTACTAGTCTGACATGTTAACCACTCAGCCATGCCACCACTTACTTGTAGTAATTTATACATAATTTCAGCCATTAAAAAGCCACCAGTGTAGAACAAATTACCTTCAGTAAGCCAGCACAATTATGAGCTTCCTGACATGAAAGTTTATGGATAATCCTACAGTTAAATTAAAAGGCAGAAATTGACTCATCATTTAACTCAATGGTGTTCTTGGTGGACAGATTAAAAAATAACTGTAGAGAAATTTTTGTCCCTTTTATCATATTTTATTCTAAAATGTAGATAAAAAAGTTTTTATGACACTGCATAAAACAAAGTTGCTGCAATAAGCATAAAGTTGCTTCACAAATAAAGAACAAGAGCACCGCTAGACGGAGCATTATATGCCCGAAAGTGATTTTTTTTTTAGTAAAAATGAAGCATTTGTAAGACATGGGAGTAAAATAAAGTATTACCTCCTTGAAATAACAATCCTCCTTTGAAGTTTCAATATTGTGGTCCAAATGGAACTTTAAGTTATGCCCCAGAAACTGTTTTCAATTCTAAGGTAAAAGTGACCTTGACCTTTGACCTTGTGACCCCAAAATCATTAGGGGTCTTCTACCCAATATGGACAATCATACTATGAAGTTTAAACACAGTAGGCCAAATGATACTTAAGTTATATTCCGAAAACTGTTTTCAGTTTTAAGGTAATAGTGACCTTGACCTTGTGACCCCAAAATCAATAGGGGTCTTCTACCCAATATGGACAATCATCCTATGAAGTTTGAATATTGTGGGCTAAATGGAACTTAAGTTATGCTCAAGAAACTGTTTTCAATTTCTAAGTAATAGTGACCTTGACCTTTGACCTTGTGACCCCAAAATCAATAGGGGTCTTCTACCCAATATGGACAATCATCCTATGAAGTTTGAACACTGTGGGCCAAATAGAACTTAAGTTATGCTCAAGAAACTGTTTTCAGTTCTAAGGTAATAGTGACTTTGACCTTGTGACCCCAAAATCAATAGGGGTCTTCTACCCAATATGGACAATCATCCTATGAAGTTTGAACACTGTGGGCCAAATGGAACTTAAGTTATGCTCCGGAAACTGTTTTCAGTTTTAAGGTCATAGTGACCTTGACCTTTGACCTTGTGACCCCAAAATCAATAGGGGTCTTCTACCCAATATGGACAATCATCCTATGAAGTTTGAACACTGTAGGCCAAATGGAACTTAAGTTATGCTCCGGAAACTGTTTTCAGTTTTAAGGTCATAGTGACCTTGACCTTTGACCTTATGACCCCAAAATCAATAGGGGTCTTCTACCCAATATGGACAATCATCCTATGAAGTTTGAATATTGTGGGCCAAATGGAACTTAAGTTATGCTCCGGAAACCAAATTGCTAACGGACGGACGGACACCAGGGGGTATAACATAATATGTCCGAAATTCTTTCGGGCATATAAAAAGACTATAATTGACATATATTTGAACAGAAAGTGATACTTGTAATCTTAACACAACAAGACCAGAAAAATACTTTTTCAAGATAAATGGTCCATTTGATGCTGGTCTATACAATAAATTTTGTGCAACATTTCAGATCATTCGCACACTATTGTTTTTCAAGAATAAGTATACTTAACAAGAGCCACCGCTGACATGGCTTAAACCTCGATTTTTTTTTACTTTTTCTAAAAGCAAACAAATAAATGGTTTTAAACAAATCTTTAAAAAGAAAATTAAAGAAAAACAATTAAATTTTTCCTTCTTTTATTTTGAAACGTCTGTCTAGTCACACTTGTTGTTTTGTCCAAGGACGACGATACACCAAAAACTTTTTAAAAACTTATGATCAACATTAAAGTTTTGGGGACACTAATGACAAAAAAGTCGAGCTAAAAATTAGTATATTTCTGAACTATCTTTTGAGTATCTTTCTGCCTTAGCTTATCTATGTAACAAATTCAAATTTGATGTATTTGGGCTTTTGGACCTCAGTGGAGTTCCTTTAAAGTACAATTATGAATAGCATAGAGCCATGCCAGTCTATGTTGATAACTCTATGTTTTGTATTTTGATATTGAAATTCCTTAGAATTTTAATTGATTTTTTTTCAAATTCAAAGCTGGATAAATTCCATTACAAAACTTCAGTACATTAAGGGTTATATATATCACATTGTTATAAAAAAATTGTACACTCTCACCCATAAAAGGGACCTTTTATAAGACGGGGGTCTAACAATTATAAAAACTTTAAAAAGTTTCATTTGAAATATTTGACTTTTTTTTTAACTTATATTAATTATTTCCATGATTTCTGAAATGTCATTATTAGCACATTAACTAATATAAACCAGATTTCATTTTAATAAGTACTGTTTCTATATTATGTACCTTTTAATTCTAAAAGAAATATGCAAATAAGGCAATAATTCAAGTAAATGGGAAACCTTGGAAACAAATACATTCAAATACAAGAACAAAATACAAACAACTTTCACATATAACATACAATGATTCACACTAACATTGTTAAGTCAATTAAACACAAAGAAAGGGGTTATGACACTAAATTTTAATAAATAGCACAATTTGACAAAAAGAAAAGAACGTCTAAACACAACTTCTCCCTTAATGATGTGTTTCCATCTTCAAAACCAACATAATGGGTTTGTGGGTTTGCGACCAGCATGGATCCCGACCAGCCTGCGCATCTGCGCAGTCTGATCAGGATCCATGCTGTTCGCTATCAGTTTCTCTATTTGTAATAGGGTTTTTAAGCGAACAGCATGGATCCTGATCAGACTGCGTGGATGCTTTGTCATTTGCAATAAATTAACAACTAATTAACATCCATATCAAGGTAGGACAGTTTTTTGTTTTTTTATTTCATTACTCTTAATTTCACATTGTCTTATTGACATGAAGTTAAAAGTTAAAAAAAAAAATCTCAAGATGGTAAAAAACAGAAACCAAGGTTTTGCAACCATAATTGTATAACTGATGTTGTATAATTAATCTAATTAACACAGTCAAAACATTTTACAAACAAACATTACTTATAACATAAAGTACTCATAAAGTTTAAATCTGAATTGGACATACACATTATGCTAAAATACAAAAATATAGATTTGTTAAGGCCTCTCAAATTTATTCACAACATGTATATATAATATTGAGAAACAGAATCATTAAGGAACACAAAAATGATATAATTGAAAATGTCAATTGAGACTGTTCATGGACTAGCATGCTATGGGTCATGCCCCCTAGCACCAGCTTAAGCAGAATTCAACACTTAAAATGAAATGGCAAAATTTTGAATTTAGAGACATTGGCAGACATGTTCATCATGGTACTTTCAATGTGACATTTTTTTCAAGAAATTTGATACCCTTTCTTGCCATTAAAGTATCATTGTTAGTTAAAAACAATTATTTTATCTCAAACATGTTAAGACTAAATATTATGATGGCAAATGCATATATCTGGTAATAAATTTCACTTTTAAGTTATGGTTTTAAAAATAATTTAACCTCAAACTGATGACAAATTTCCAGCACAGTTGCAAGAGACAATTTTAACCATTGCCCCTCAAAATATTTTTATTGGATTTGTCCATTTTTCAATCTGGATGAAACCATTCATCATATTTGGCAGAAATTAGGAAATATTTACTGACCAATAGCAAACAGTGCAGATCAAGATCAGTCGGCACGACTGGGCCGGCTTATCTTGGTAATCACCAGTCACATGGTTAGAATCTATTGTCACCAGTAGTCTAATGTGGTAATATAAACTTGGTAATAACAACATTAATCCTTACCATAAAAACAAATTCTGGAAGCACTGACAATCAACTATTTGCTTTGGTCTGGCCTTCTGTTATTACAATAAAAGCAACTCAGACTTATGAACATTATCTGTCGCAAGAAATCATATAATTTGGTTTAGCCTTAACAAATGGTTTAAAACTATATAATGGAGTTACCTCTGTAACTGGCTCATTGAACGCTGAATTGTTGGAGAAACTCAATTCATGATCTTGCATGCCGTCTAAATCATCTTCAATAAAAAAAACATTCTTTTCCTCTTT